CTACTGTTTTCTCTCGAGTGGAACACAATTTTAGCATTTTAAAACGAAAACAACATATAGCAAATATCTTGGTAAATCAGTTAAAGCATTGGCCGGATATCCCTAATTGTTTGTAATCTTACAAGTTCCTGAAAATATGATCCGAATATGATTCTCGTATATCCAAGAGGTGAGGTAAACATAATCGCCCATCTTAGGTTTCGTTCTCCACCTCAAGCACCGTTCTCGTCTTTGATATTGCCTTTGCACCCATCCAAAACACCTTACCCCCTTATCTCCATCAATGAGCGATTGCTAACCAATGTGAGCAAAAAAAAAAAAAACATTAGAAGAGTAAGTGGTTCACATATTCAACATTTCATTGACAGGGTATGCATGAGGGATCTCTAGCTAGATGCATGTGTACTCGATTGTCTACCCCTTGAATATTGTTGGATAGACACTTCCATAGAATAGAAAGTGTTTTATCTTAGGGTTTGACCAAATATAGAAAGTGTGGTTATATGTTATTATGATGAATATATCCCAAGCCACCTAACATTATCCTACTACTCGAGCTCTAGGATCTGAAAAAGAAACGTATACTATTTTTTCTTACTTTCGGGACACGTGGATATATATATACTTACATGTTTGTTTTACATCAATAACCATTAAAAAACAAATTTTAATTTAATACTATTATAATTAGTGAAAACATATAGTGGTTGTTTGGTTATTTTTGATAATGGACATTGACGTGGTATCACTGTATATTAGCGTCCATTTTCGATAATGCATAGACTCAATTTCACATAATATTGCCTAGCATCAAATTAATACGAATATACAGAAATTTATTTTTACTACTATTATATATTTCTCATAACTATAAACATTTAACAGCCTTTCTCCTTTTTATTTGGAAAAGAAAATTAAATCATAAAATTGGTAAATCATCGTTTTTAAAAGGCAAATTTCCAAATATACCCCTGGAAACTCACGGGCTACACTTCTTCTTCGCGAACCCAAACCTGTCATTCTCCAAATCGTATTCCACGTGATAGTTCTGTTGCTGGAAACTCCCCAGAATTATCGCCGGACCGCTCTTTCCGCCGCCGGAAGGACCGACGATGGAATCAGAAACCACCGTTAAACAGATGTTATCAGCGCTTCCGACGAACGAGAAGTAATTCGATGACGGCAATTCCATTTTCGCTCCGCCTTTAAACTCGAAGATCAACTCCGGCAGTGTCACCGATCCCTCGCCGGAGATATTAAAACACGGCCCAAGTCCGGTGAGTTTCTCTAAGTCCTTTTCTCTACTGTAATTCGACATCTGTGTAGCGAATTCTTCAGAAACGAGATCGAAAACGGGTCGATCCATGAAAGTGAATGTAGATCCTGAATCGACGATGGATCCTCCGTTACCATCAATTCCCGGAGCTAAAAACTTGTAAGGAATCTTCACGTGCTTGCTTCCGACGTAGATTCGCCGGAGATTGAGGTAATAATACTCGAGAAAAGCAGAGTTCGAGACATTAGGGTTGCTTCGAAACGGCGTATAGCTAAGACCCGGAGTTTTCGACCCGGATTTATGACCCGACCCGGTATCTAAATCGAGATCGGAGCTCACATCTGTATCGTCGAATCGACGAGAAACCAAACAATGAGAGAACCTCTTGAGCTTCATCTGAGAAGGAAGCGATTCGGATCCACGACCAAACCCGGCAATACCAGCGGGTTGTCGGGTCGAGATAACAGAGCATCCGACTACGAAATCGGGTACGGTTAGATCCGGAAAATCAAGTGTTTCCGATAGCAAAAGCCCAGCCGTTGATCCTAAACCGTATTGGATAATGTACGGTGGACAATTGACGGTGCAGTTACGGGTATTCGGGTCACATCCTCTGCATTGAACATTGGGTCCGAATATGAATTGGCATTTCGGATTCTGACACCCGATAATCCGAGACGAGGTTGAGTTCTTGGGCACGAATTTTTGGATCCGGGTCGGATCCAAACCGGAGAAATCGCAATTGGAGCAGAGATACTTGGAGGTACAAGGGAACCAGACGAGGCTACTTCCGGTATCGAATACGAAAGGGATTGTCTGCGACGGTGTACCGAAGCTGAGAGAGACAGAGTATCCACCGTAGCTACGGGGAGAGAGAGGGGATTTCACGACGGTGGCGGAAGCGGTGGAGACGGCGGAGAGAGCTTCTTCGTCGGGTTTAATGGTGGTGGGTTGTTTGAGTTTTTGAGCTCTTGCGATGGAGGAATCGGCGAGACGGCGGAGAGAGAGGTAAGGGTCGTTGGGTGATTTGTCTGTGTGGTGGGAGAACGGAGAAAGAGGTAGTTTAACGGCGG